GGCAGCACTAAATGACATTCATCCATCTGACCGTTGCAAGTGCTGCATTCATATTTGAGAACTGAACAAAAATAACATTTATCAATCATTCAACAAATGACATTTTTAATATGAAACGCCATTGTCAGAGAATACGAGAGCCCACTTAGCCGATCTTAGCGCTAAGATGATCGTAACTCCCATACTTTAACATGGGCTTACAATAGTCGTAGCGCTAAGATCGCTTTGTGCAAGTGGGCCAAGGTGTTCGCCAAATGTTCGTGAAAAGGGTAAACATGCCCCCCTTACAGGTAGAGTGAGTGAGTGATTGTGGTTTTACGCCGCTTTTAGCAATATTCCAGCAATATCAAGGCGGGGGACACCAGAAATGGGCTTTACACATTGTGCCCATGTAGGTAATCGAACCCGGGTCTTTAGCGTGACGCAGATACCAAAGATTAATCAACATATTAAACATTACAGATTTCTAACAAAAATAGTAAGCTTCAGTTGCATTCATGTGTGTGTGTGTGTGTGTGTGTGTGTGTGTGTGTGTGTGTGTGTGTGTGTGTGTGTGTGTGTGTGTGTGTGTGTGTGTGTGTTCGAGAAAAAGGAATTGGGAGATGCGGTCTTAAAATACTATGCCTTGGTCTGTCATGTATGCCATTCTACAAATGTATATCAGCTGGTTTGGTTTTAACCACCTATGGACCTTTTCTTGGAACGTCAAAAATAAAAGTAGAGCAGGTTTAAAGGTAGACACTTTCCATTCATGAGTGTGTGTGTGTGTGTGTGTGTGTGTGTGTGTGTGTGTGTGTGTGTGTTCGAGAAAAAGGAATTGGGAGATGCGGTCTTAAAATACTATGCCTTGGTCTGTCATGTATGCCATTCTACAAATGTATATCAGCTGGTTTGGTTTTAACCACCTATGGACCTTTTCTTGGAACGTCAAAAATAAAAGTAGAGCAGGTTTAAAGGTAGACACTTTCCATTCATGAGTGTGTGTGTGTGTGTGTGTGTGTGTGTGTGTGTGTGTGTGTGTGTGTGTGTGTGTGTGTGTGTGTGTGTGTGTTTGCGTGCGTGCGAGCGTGTGTGTGTGCGTGCGCGTGCGAGCGTGCGTGCGTGCGTGTGTGTGTGTGTGCGAGCGAGCGAGCGAGCGTGCGTGCGTGCGTGCGTGCGTGCGTGCGTGCGTGCGTGCGTGCGTGCGTGCGTGTGTGTGTGTGTGTGTGTGTTCGAGAAAAAGGAATTGGGAGAAGCGGTCTTAAAATACTATGCCTTGGTCTGTCATGTATGCCATTTTATAAATGTATATCAGCTGGTTTGGTTTAAAACACCTATTGACCTTTTCTTGGAACGTCAAAAATAAAACTAGACCAGGTTTATAGGTAGACACTTTCCATCTTAACCGAAACCGTAAATACAAAACAGCTTGGTTCATACGAAGCATTCCTACAAAAATAAAAGTGAATATCTGCCCTGATCTTATTTTTATTCAAGTGTATTGATCTCTAAACTCCCCGTTTTACTATAGACGTATTTGTACAAATATCAAGCCTCTTTGTGTAATTTTAACAATTTCAACTCGCCGTCATTTTTCACCGATTTTAATGTCTTCTTGTATGAATTCGAAGGTCGAGTGTTACAAACCTACTGAGAGTAGAGTGAAAATTGAAGGGAGCATTTCGATTTTTGCACTGTGTACACAAAACAGCTTTCAACGTCATAATTGTTCTGAATTGTATGGTCTGCATCGCTCTTTGCTTGTTTTTTTGCATCTGAAAAAATATCACATATCTCTTAAATTCGGGTTTAGTACTGTGTTTGTCGCAATAGTGTCTAGATCTCTTTTCATCACGCGGGCCAAATCCCTGTATCAGTAACCCACATATGATGGTTGATCGTTGTGGGATACTGTCATAGCAGTTGACTCAGGACAGCCTTTGTCAGGATAAACATTTAGCCTCGAAGACTAATTAAGTGAGTGAATGAGTATGGTTTTACGCCGCTTTTAGCAATATTCCAGCAATATCACGGCGGGGGACACCAGAAATGGGCTTCACACAATGTACCCATGTCGGGAATCGAACCCGGGTCTTCGGCGTGACGAGCGAACGCTTTAACCACTAGGCTACCACTAGGCTATTAAACGCCTGTGTCTGAAACCCATGCAGCCAACACGGTGTTCGTTCGATCAGGAGCAAGGAAATCGATTTTTCTCAACAGGAAATCTCACATTGATAATTGATAATTACATATTGATAATTGCGATAAAATATATATCCCCTTTTAATCACCTTATGGATCCAACCTTAAGATTATTAAAAATCTCGTAAAGTGCATTGTTTGGATCAACCAGTGAAATGTTTCACTATTAAATTCCGTAAACCAAAAAAAGGAAAGATGGCCCAAATATTAGCTATTTTGTATGTAGTGGGATACTCTGAATGTAACCAAACAGACTTCCATCAACTGCCACATGAACAATTTGCATTTAGTTTAAGGTGACACATTACACGGACCAGATTATGCTAAAGGAAGTCTTCGATCGATAGCAAAAAGCTGGAAGATCTAAAGTAACATGTGACCAAAAAAATGAATAATTGTATTCCCTTTCTGCACACGACGTCAGGGTAATAACTTACTTGTAACGCTTGTTTGTAGAAAGAAAGTCTCGTTTGGGAATAAGGCAGTGCTTACAATGAACGCTTGATGACTACCTTTCACCAATCACCCTGTGTATCGTCATGGCTAAACCGTGTTACGTCATGGCTAAACCGTGTTACGTCATGGCTAAACCGTGTTTGGTCATGGTTGAGTCACTTGAGGTCATGTTTTAGGTGTGATATGTCATGATTTAGTCGTGTTATGTAATGTTTTAGTCGTGTTAGTCCATGGTTCAGTCGTGTTTTGTTATCATGGTTTAGTCGTGTTAGGTCATACTTTAGTCGTTGGACGTCATGGTTTAGTCACATGAGGTCATACTTAAGTCGTGTTAGGTCATGCTTTAGTCATGTTACATCATGGTTTACTCGTGGTAGGTCATGGTTTAATCATTTTATATCATAGTTTAATCGTGATAGGTCATGGTTTACTCATGTTATATCATGGTTTAATCGTGTTATGTCATGGTTTAGTCATGTTATGTCATGGTTTAATCGTGTTAGGTCATGTTTAGTCATGTTATTTCATGGTTTAATCGTGTTAGGTCATGGTTTAATCGTGTTAGGTCATGGTTTAGTCATGTTGTATAATGGTTTAATCGTGTTAGGTCATGGTTGAACCGTGTAAGGTATATGGTTTAGTCATGTTATATCATGGTTTAGTCATGTTATGTCATGGTTTAATCGTGTTAGGTCATGGTTTAGTCATGTTAGTTCATGGTTTAATCGTGTTAGGTCATGGTTTAATCGTGTAAAGTCATGGTTTAGTCATGTTATTTCATGGTTTAATCATGTTAGGTCATGGATTGATCGTGGTAGGTCATGGTTTAATCGTTTTAGATCATGGTTTAACCGTGTAAGGTATATGGTTTAGTCATGTTATATCATGGTTTAGTCATGTTATGTCATGGTTTAATCGTGTTAGGTCATGGTTTAGTCATGTTAGTTCATAGTTTAATCGTGTAAGGTCATGGTTTTGTCATGTTATTTCATGGTTTAATCGTGTTAGGTCATGGTTTAGTCATGTTATACCATCGTTTAATCGTGTTATATCATGGTTTAATCGTGTAAGGTCAGGGTTTATTCGTGTTAGATCATGGTTAAGTCATGTTATGTCATGGTTTAGTCATTGTAGCTCATGGTTTAGTCATGTTATATCATGATTTAGTCATGTTAGGTCTTGGTTTAATCGTGTTAGGTCATGGTTTAGTCATGTAATGTCATGGTTTAATCGTGTTAGGTCATGGTTTAGTCATGTTATGTCATGGTTTTGTCGTGGTAGGTCATGGTTTAGTCATGTTATGTCATGGTTTAGTCGTTGTAGGTCATGTTTTAGTCATGTTATATTTTGGTTTAATCGTGTTATATCATAGTTTAATCGTATTAGGTCATGGTTTAATCGTGTTAGGTAATGGTTTAACCGTGTTAGGTCATGGTTAAGTCATGTTATATCATGGTTTAGTCGTGGTAGGTTATGATTTAGTCATGTTAGGTCATGGTTTAATCGTGTTAGGTCATGGGTCTTTGTCTCATTCAAACTACACATGATGTAAGGAGAGTTCTCATTGCATTTTCAATGCAATCATTATGTTTAGTCCATCCGTTGAATAGTTGAAAGCCCGACGTTTATCCTTGCACGTGTGGCACAAATGGCCACCCTCTACAAACATAAACTGAATATACGAAGACAAAAACATTTAACTATTAAAGAAACTATTGTGATTATTAATAGCGGCAGATCTTTCAGGTTTAATATTTTTCATTGCAGTAATAATTTATACGTGCTGGTAATTAACATAAACCATTGCAGTAACTGACCATTGGACGTAATGATTTACATATGATATTGTATTTATGTAGTTAGATTTATGCATTACATTCACATTGTTCCGTTGACCTTGACCTTGACCTTAGTAATTGTTACCTCAATTATTGTTTGTGTATTAAGCACAGTAGCATAAACAAATCCGCTTATTGACAGAAATGTTTTCTTGTTATAACTCATTATTTTGCATCACTGACTAGAAACTTGGGATTAGTTTTATAACCTCTAAGTTAAGGTCAAAGGTCAGAGGTGGCATGGTTACTCAATATCCTCTTGACCTTTGATTGATCATGACGATGGATCCGCCGAGAGGTATCGATTTGTTCTGGTGTTAATTTGAATCATATGTATATTTAGTTACGTCATAATAGTTGTAACTGTCAGTTATAGTAGATCATCAATCAATAATCAGTTATACAATTTAACATCCTTTCCAAATCTACAAACCCGTTGCTGTGTTATGTAATGGTGTAATGAATGTACTCATCTACTGCACCCTCATATACTCATAACTGAAATAATTACAAAACAAGGTGAAAAGAGCAAAATTTATTGAAATGTATCAATATCCTCCAGTATATATATATATAACATCGTTCAACGTGTTTTGAAACTGGGATGTAAACAAATATAAACAGCAAAACATCTTACAGAGAATCGAAATAGTACGCCAGGATGGAAACACAGTGCTTGTTATGTAGAAAGATAAATGTCATGTCCACACGAACACTGTCATTAAATGTCATGATCATGACATACCGTCTGTGATGTGCGATACTGCTGCTGTAAAATGTGTGAGGCGTCTATATATACTACTCAAAAGAAGTAAAGGGTCACCTGATTCTTTCATATTACTATAGTTAATCTGTCATGGCATGACAGATTAACTCTAGTAATATGAAAGAATCAGGGGACCCTTTACTTCTTTTGGGTAGTATACATACAAGGAACATCTTCAATGATTATTAAACTGACAGTGTGTAAATACAAGGGATTATGCACTCACATCATATCCTGCTTGTAGGACATACTTGTACATTCGTGTCTTTTACATGTATGTTCACATTAGGCATTCGTGACCAACTCCTGTACACTCGCGCCCCTGTCGTAGACATTTTTGCGACTGGGTTCCGTCTAAGCGGCAACGCGCATAGATAAAAGAATTGTCAACTCGTTGCGTAATGATTCACGTATATTCCCCAAACATTATATATATTTCAGATGCAATTTAAAGCACATCGGGACATGCGGTATAATACAGTATGATTGAACACAGTTAACTGTATCTTGGGTATATTTTTAGATGTAAGACATATAAAATCCACAATTATTCCTGAGGGAATTATTCCTTGGAAGTCATACGCGCATTTCGACTGGTTTGTCGTATTTTCGCACATAACATCCATCGGTAGAGGGACCAGTCTTCTTGCAGATACTTGAAAGGGGCTAGTGGTGACGAATGTCAACTTTGGCTTATTTCCATACGCCATGCTCTCGCGCTGTAGTACGCGGGACCACTCGTGCCATCCCGGAAGATGTCGAATGGTTATTACGGAAATGAGCGATTGGTGACGAATGGCAAGTGGTCGTTGGACATGATCATATGAATAACTTAGCCGGAGGTAAACAGAAGTAAATTTGCGCAGATCTTTTATGATGTTTGAGTCTTGTATTGTGCCCTTAATATACAAGCGGATTTGGTAATTCAGTGACCTTGTAATGATGGACACCTTCATTTTTATGAGGTCAAGGTCATCCGTCCAGCGAACATTACCATTTGTATGTACACCAGCAATAAAACAATTCAGGTTTGGTTACATCGGGGATAACAAAATAGACAAAACAGTAATAGCACTGTTTACATGTCGTCATGGACATAGTGATATATGCATAGATCTCTGTGCTGAGTATATTCAAATAAAGACGCTACAATGTACGGAGATATAGCACTGCTTTAAAGGGGCACTCGTCTTTTCTGGGCCTCTTGATCATTTTATCATGGAAGCTCCAGTTTCGTAATCTCTTCTTAAGTGTACAGTGCATTAGAGTGTCCGGTACATTGTAGTGAACAGCACTGGGAAGAAATGGAAGCGGCGTTTTTTTGTTTTAACTCTGCACCATTTAATGATAAATATTTACATACTAATGCAAACATTAAAAAAACATGAAATAAGTAAACAATGTGATTATGCTAATGTAAAATATGATAATGAATTGACATTTGCGTGAATCGGAAAAATATATTTGCATATATTTTTCAAACAAAATCCTTTCGGACATTGACATTTTGGAGAATATATATAAACTGTATATATATTATTAATGTATATATCACAACCATGTAAAAATCACAGATTCTAAACTGAAACATTATTATACTTTACTAAATAGGTCAGATGTGTCATGTGGTATCAAAACTAAATTACAGCGAAACCTCGTTAATCCGAACGACATGACGATAATAATTGTGTACATCGTTAAGTCTCAACCGTTAACGTATGGAAAGTTGTGATCGTGTAACGTTGTTCGGACTAACGAGTGTTCATTGTATATGTATTTATGTACATGTATGTACAACATGATTCCAAAACAACAGAAATACAACACCATGTCTGTATATATAACAATAATAATAATAAAAAAGATCAGGTGGCAAGAAATACTTTAGAGGCCATGACCCGCTTGTACAAAGCGATCTTAGCATTACGACTGTCATAAGTCCATGTTTAAGTACGGGAGTTACGATCGTAAAGTAATTTGCATACTTTACAATAGATTTACGACAGTCTTAGATCGCTTTGAAAGAGGAACTGGTATCTCTCATAAATGGGTTATTATTCATAACGTCATACGCCCCGTTAAGACGCTAAGAGAATTAATACAATTTCGCTATAACGCCAGGATAAATACTTTCGTCACATCCGTGTTTGAGTTAACGGGAATTACTGTATACTAATATCAACGGTAAATTGGGCAAACAATGGAGTGAGTTAGTATTGTTTTACGCCGCTTTTTGCAATATCAAGGCAGGGGACATCACCCCACGGCATCACACATTGAACCCATGTGAGAAATCGAACCCGGGTCTTCGATGTGACGAGCTAACGCTCTAGCCACTAGACTACCCCGCCGCCGCCAAAGAACTAAACAAATTACCAAGACTCTTCACTAGTTGTCTGAAGCATTATTGCCCTACATCATATCCTGCAATCCCGGAGACATCGAAACTGAGACATTGAAATATGTACATGGTCATGTTATTCTATGATTTAGGATAGTGAGTGAGTATGGTTTTACGCCGCTTTAAGCAATATTCCAGAAATATCACGGCAGGGGACACCAGAAATGGGCTTCACACATTGTACCCATGTCGGGAATCGAACCGGGGTCTTCGGCGTGACGAGCTAACGCTTTAACCACTTGGCTACGGGGCCCCTGATTGAGGATAGTCACTATTTTTAAATAAATATAATATGCCGGGAAAAGAAAGTATACACCCATGTTTGATGGTGGCTAAAAGTAAACAAGAAGAAATGGTTATTCCATGGTGATGTATGTAATACGGGTATCTTAGTTTGAGAATGTTTTAAAGTTTGCAGTATTTCGGCGACTGTTTCCAGCCCCGTAACGTTAGTAATGTTTGGCTCAAATCCAATTTTCAAGAATATACTTTCTTTTCCCCCGGCAGTCTGTTGTATTCAGTAATTCAAAGACCAAAATGGTAGACAGAAATTTAACAGATCTGTTCCGCAGTTCAGTGCAGTTCAGTGTTTCAAATATTTTCACAAAAGTGAGTGAGTTAAAATGAAATATTGCATCGACAATATTTTCGGAGTGTAAAACATTCCATTAAGTGTTTTGGTTTCAAAACGAACAATGTTAATCAACGTATGAATTAAAATGCATTTTTTTTAAAAAAACATCAAATGCCCGCGTAACGTTTTTAGAAAGAATTTTTTTTTTTTATGTTATATATAAAACATACATGTCATTAATGGCATCTAACTTTTTGCCTTGTTGAGATCGAACACATCTTAAATAATGCAGATACGTTGTTGAAATTGTTTCAGACCCGGAACTGTTTAGCTGAGGCATTCTCTTATTATATGGACCCAGCAATACTATCAGACATTGACATCACGCTTCACTATGGCTTTTCCTGATATTTTCTTTGATTTTGTCAATGTCGTCCTCGAGGTCACTGTCGCCAGCAGAAACGTCGCTGACGTCGCCAACGTCGCCGTCACGAGCTGCAATGGCCGCCTTTTGTTGAAGGACCTCATCCAGTTCCTGATAGTGATTTTCCACTCCAGTCTTGTCTCCGTCAAGATCGTTAAAGTCAGTGTAATCATTGGATCCGGCTTCACAGCGGGTGTCAAGAGACGCCAGGTTGCTGTTCTGGTACTGACCAGCGCTGTTGCAAAGAGCGGCGGGTTGTTTGGGAAGCGTGTCGTACTGCACTGGTTGGCTGTAGGGGTTGCATTCATCGCTGCAGGCGCCACCAGTCGCCAGTTCACCATCAGCCGAAGGTTCGCCGTCAAGCGGCAGATCATTGTTCTGTCGCTGTTGGTTTTCCTTGTTCGCCTCGAGATACAGAACATTCTCAAACGCCATGTGGTTGGGTTCAGCGTCCATTACGTTACTTTCGCAACGCATCAGTTGTTTTGTCTTGTCTCTGGAAATTGGAAATATATAATTATGCCTTGGAGCATCTTTACAGGAAAATAAACAAAATAGGGAATTTGACTTTCTTGTCTTGACATTAACCTTGGAATGATAAATACAGTTTGAGTGATTGGTGCAAAACCGATAGTCAATGTTATAGAACACTGAAATTGATCTGCAGTGATCCGCGTCGTAGGGGAACAATCCAGAATGTGAAGATCCGAGTTAGAATAGGTCTTCAAAACCCATGCTTGCCATAAAAGGCGACTATGCTTGTCGTAAGAGGCGACTAAAGGGATCGGACTGTCAGGCTCGCGGACTTGGTTGACGCATGTCATCGATCCCAATTGCGTGGATAGATGCTCATGATGTCAATCACTGGAGTTTCTGGTCCAGACTCGATTATTTACAGACCGCCGTCATATAGCTTAAATATTGCTGAGAGCGGCGTTAAACAACAAACCAAACCAACACCAAACGATCCAGAATGCCGGAACTACTTTCAATCCGTCACCATGTTTGATTGTTTCTGAGACTAATGTAGCAAACAAAATAATACATGCGCCTTTTCTTCTCTAATGACATCATCTATGTCTCATGTTTTGTCAGGTCGCTGGATCTTATAATCCTGTTATATGACAAGAGCCGATTACCCTCTAGTTAAGTCCTTGTTCAGCTGCGTTACTTACGATCGTCTTCGTCGGATGAGGATTATCGCCAGCAGGACCACCAGGATTACCGCTATGAGGAGAGGGAGGACGATCGCATACCAGTTAAGGGTCAGCCAACTCTCCTTCCGCACCTGCAAAAACATACAAACCTACATGACCTGACTGCTGATTCTCGTCGAGTTGCGTCCTCTATCCGTACAAGGATCCGCTAATCGTTGTTCTTATAATCCGATTAAGACACTCGGTCTGTTCACATGACATCTGTGTTTTATTGTCGCTTGAGTGGAGTTATACAAGGTTACTACTTTTCACCCCACCACATTTAGTTTTTTAAATTCTAAAAGTATTCAATGGCCGTTAAACCAAACTAAACCACGTACTCTGGTAACAATGATCACTGTGGTTTTATACTGTTTGAATTAATAACTAATAACAAGGGCTTCACACCACGATATGTCATGACCCTTATAACGTTTGATTCGTGATAGTTCAAACTTTCATATAAAATAACATTCGAACCTACCCCCAATCTCGTGTATGTCATGTAAGTGCATCGTCCCTAGGGAAGGGGAGTTAACTGACTACAAAAGTCCAATTTCCAAATGACAATTAGACATTTACGTCAGTTAACGCCCTTGCCTCGGGAAGACGCTTTGGTGGGGTAATACGAATATCAGCTGAATATTATCGACACGTTGTAAAGTAAACGTGTGAGTGAATTGGGTAAAGCTCTCAAAAAGTTTTATGGTGACACATTTCCAAATTTGACGCATCAGTGACAAAAATGATGTCCGATGAAATTCCCTATTTTGACTTATTCCATGGTGGGTTTTTCTTAGGTCAACAATTGATTTGCCTTTGCATGTGTTTGTGACGGGTGTCACCTGTGGGGCAGGATGCGTTCACCTTTTCGCGAACACCTGGTATCACTACTATTTGATAGCGATTCATAAACACATACTCACGATATAGTCGTAATTGTACAATTGTACGATTTATGCAGAGATTTCTTTGGATTTGGAAGGGGTTTTGTCGTTTTGTTTACTATTCTTTGAGGTGAGGTGGGGTGAGGTGAGCTGAAGTGAAGTGAGGTGAAATGGGGTTTAACGTCGCTTTCAAGATTGGTGGACTTATATAGCGACGTGCATGCACGTGTGTGTGGCTGCATGTACAAGTCCGGACTGATGCCGATATATAGTGCTGGCTCACTAAGATACCATGCCACAGTTTTACATGAATACCCCACTCAGACACAGTATACTGACTTAGAGCCGACCTTCCGCTCTCCGGGCAGACGCTCTGTCCGCTAGACCACGGAGGCGGGCATACGTCATAAGGTCACAGAGAGGATGTAAAATGGCAGTGACACACGATGTTATGATGAATATCGTTGATCTCCCCGAATGTTGAAACTGTTTATGGCTTCATGGACACGAGATTGGCACTTTCAAATTTTATGCGAAACTCTCCTATGAGTGAACCACGTCTTTCGACCTGTCTGAACTTAAACACTATTTAGAGTGAGTGAGTTGGGTTTTAAAGCCATTTTTAACAATATTCCAGTTATATCGCGGCGTGTCAGCTTAATGTAAGAGGAAAGCCCGAAGTGATGCAGGTCTCAGACGTTTACCACTTCGGTGAAACCCACGAGCACGGGTATGGTGCTGACAAACCTAGAAACATAATCGGGGCGAACCAGGATTCGAACCCACAATCATAGGTTTCTGGCGTGCCCAAGGGACGCAACTCTACACAGCGAATCGCGGCGCCTTAGACGACTGGGCCATCCGTGCCCTCAAACACCATATAGAGTGAGTGAGTAAGTTGGGTTTTAAAGCCATTTTTAACAATATTCCAGTTATATCGCGGCGTGTCAGCTTAATGTAAGAGGAAAGCCCGAAGTGATGCAGGTCTCAGACGTTTACCACTTTGGTGAAATAATAATCAGAGTAATTGACAACCTCTGTTAGCCCTTGTGGACCTGTCTGGGGTCTGGCCGGGTAGAGCGGGAGGGGCAGGTAGGGGTTGATGTCGTCATCGCTGTTGGAGCTAAAGATGCGGTTGACAGCTTCATTGTTCAGAACGTTCCCGTCTGCAAGTGACGAGAAAAACTCCACACGGGTTGTCGTGGTCCTGAAATTAAGAACTGACGTCTTTAATATAAAAGTTATTTGTTTGCCATCATATGTCCTGACATTTCTTGAAAAGCGGATTCATTGAATCCGAGTAGGGACATTGTCGCTATTATGTCAACATGAATTGGGAAATTATATATTTCAATTTTGGATTTTTACCATTGGCTGCAAACTTGGGGCCTGTGCAGGTCTAGATTAACCCTGCAGAACATAACGGTTTTCTGACTGGTGGTACATGCTAACGACACTCTTACAAAAACAAGTAAAAAGTTTCAAAATTAACCAAAGCGCGACAATGCGACATTTTGGTTATGTGTCGCTTTGTCACATTGTCGCATTGTCGCGCTTTATATATTATTTTTTTTATCAAAGGTCGACAATGGGACAACGCGACATTTTCAAGGTAAACATGTGTCGCGTTGTCGCTCCATCAAAACGGTGTTAAAATGAGCGACAATGAGACATATTGATAATGTCGCGTTGTCGTATTGTCGCGCTGTAGTTAACATTGATACTTTTAGCTTGTTTTTTGGAAGGTCGACAACGTGACAATGTTCCAACAAGGATTCCATGCGGATGCGAAGATTGCATGTGAATACATTTGAGACTGTACATCAATTAAGTTGATCACTGAAATCAATTGAAATAGTATCAATGAATCACTCACTCGCTGTTGATTGGTATTATTCTTGTGTTGACTTTGACAAAAACCTTTTTCGGAACACCTCCGAGTTCGTTGATGAGTTTGATCAAGCCATTAGTTAGATTGTCCCTATTGCTGTTATCAATCACTCCCAGGAGCGTAATGGCCGCTGGGTCTGAGAAGAGCACAAAAACAGTATCAATTAAATGTAACAAAAATACTGCCACACGGCTCTGTAGCTCACCTAGCAAAATGGAGCAAGACTTTAGACCAGAAAGGTCTTACCAGTATAAACAAGATTTCACACAACAGATGTAAATGTACATTCTACCATGAATTTGGAATTTACTCGATTCTGATTGGTCAATCAGAGGCTATTAAATCACAATAAACCCCCTCTGATTGAAACAGCTGGTTTGACGGCCGCTTCACCGTGGAAGCTAATATTCGTAGAATGGTACTATTTTCAGTCATTGTCGGTAGGCGTATTTAAATAATTATATCTGCAATTACAGGTTACAAAATGCACAGATGCGGTTAATACAATATACAAAGGATGTGTGGCAATACATTTTGTGCAGAAAAACACGACAGAAATCAACAAAGGGAATGTATTTACGTTTTGGAGACAACAGAGAGCTTGGAATTTTGGCGCTTTTCTATATATGACTGTGACGTCATATCTTTTGCGTCACAATGAGCGGCATGACGTCATAATGGTGACGTGCGATGTAGAGCGAAAGCCTTGCAAAGCTTGCTTTGTTTTCTTTACGGATGACCACCTCATGTTTGCTTACCAAGTTGCCGTGCTTATATGCTTCCAATGCCTGTCATATGTTCGATTGAAGTATTACGGTATGAACAAATTGCTTGAGGATATACAGCACCATATTTTTTTTTCAGTGATTCCGTAATTCAGATCGATAACGCACTCAAAACAATGAACTCGCTTCACTCGCTTCACTCAGTATAGTTGCTAACACCAAAGAGTTCGCATTTTATTTAGTCATGGTAGAATGGAGATAAACATACTGTGTTTTCAATGTAGAGCTAGGTTACCTGTAGATTTAACCCCGCTAAATTTAACATTTGAAAACTCACGCTGCGCGTTCGGTTCCAAATTCAAATTAGCGGGGTTAAATCTACAGGTAACCTAGCTCTACATTGAAAACACAGTATGTTTATCTCCTTATTCAGTGACATATTGACACACGAATAGTTGGATGACAATACGTAGCAACTTGAAGCCTAATGCAGACCACAACTTCATGTTCAAGATGCATATATCAATGATCATTAAAGAAAATGCATCGGTAAAAATAGCATTTTCGAAATGGCTGAAATGGTGGACATATTTAAAGGCGGATCTGAATTTTGCGAGTTTTATATAGGTGGGATCACACATTTAAAGTTTCAACTTCATAAACCCAGAAGTGTCAGATGAGATGTTGAAAATGTGCCAACATAAGGTAAAAGGAGGGACATGAAAGTCACAAATATAAAAAAAAGGTCAAATAGGATGTGATATTTCGCATACAACATTCTTACATGTCACATTCCAATATTACAACATTCATACATGTCACACTCCAATCATACAGCATTCTTACACGTTACTTTACAATCATACAACATTCTTACACGTCACAATCATACAACATTCTTACATGTCTCATCCCAATTATACAACATTCTTACACGTCACACTCCAATCATACAACCTTCTTACACGTCACATTCCAATCTTACAACATTCATACATGTCACACTCCAATCAGAACATTCTTACACGTAACACTCCAATCATACAACATTCTTACACGTCACATTCCAATCATACAACATTCTTACACGTCACACTGCAATCATACAACATTCTTACACGTCGCATTCCAATCATACAACATTCTTACAAGTCACATTGCAATCTTACAACATTCTTACACGTCACATTCCAATCATACAACATTCTTACACGTCGCATTCCAATCATACAACATTCTTACACGTCTCATTACAATCATACAACATTCTTACATAACACATTCTAATCATACAACGATCCTACACGTCACATTCCAATCATACAACATTCTTACATAACTCATTCTAATCATACAACATTCTTCCACGTCACATTCCAATCATACAACATTCTTACAGCATGATGAGCGAACGCTTTAACCACTAGGCTACCCGACCGCCCCTGGTCACATTAGATATTAAAATTATAGTCGATACATATTTTCCATCACCAAAACACCTACTGTCATTTCCGTTAACATGTTAATGCCCTGAAATATGCCAAATAACAAAAACATCTAAATTTTAATCTGTTGATTGTATTAGTTAAACCAAAATGACCATAAAACCCTGTAATTATATTAAATATATATAATATTATAAAAATGGTTGCCAATATCAGTTTCAGTTTTAACAAACGTATGAATAAATCTCAGGTTAGTTCGTGTTAGATATGTCACTACAAAAATAAATGGACTCCTTTACTTACGAAACTGATCCTGTCCCCTTGGTTCAAATAACCTGGGCACGATCACATCCAAAACAAGCATTGCTGTATTGTTCTACATTCGGAACAGTTCACGTTTTGGACCACGGAAGCCTAGAGTTATCAGCTGAACTGGTAAGTATTGACGTGTTTGTTCACAGGAAGAGACAGTGTTGTACCATATCAAATATTGTTTGAGTTCAGTTTGACTTTTCGTGTGCTTCAATTGCATGACAGGATTAGCGATAACACACTGCAAAAAGTTATTCTTTCCCTGTTAGAATCAGAGGCTTGTTATAATGATTTGAAACCTCAAGAAAGTAGAGGAGATTTGCTAGGGGTTGTTTTTATTCTTAAAATAAGAAATGAATAGTTTTATATGACTGAATGGAAATAAACCACCACAGTCGTTTGAAATATTAGTAACAACGGTTAAATAAGAAAACATCCGATGTGACAGTCATAGTGTCCACTACTTTATGCGTAGTTTGTAACTACCAACCTTTTACAAATCACTCTTTATTATTCTGCCATGAACAAAATTAGGTTGTAAATCTTTTACTGAAACAGATATGCAATTTTTCAAAAGATATTTGGCAAAATGTCGACTTAAATCAAAATGAAGTTGTATTTAAGCATGAGATAATCAAACACAACAATATCACCGTACGGGTTTGAATCTCATTTGATGTGTTTGGAGATGGACTTGAGCATAAAAACACATCCTTTCTGATTTCGTGTTAAAGTGTACGCGTTTTCACTCTGTGTGAGTATATATCAAACAATGTTAGGTTTTATTACCTATCTAACGATGCACTATTGTTTTAGAAAGAGAGTGATGCACCAGAACAATTTCACGAAACGTACACCTTAGAAATATCTGTATGTTGAAGACTCAGTTGACAAATATGGGGTTCTTAATCTGTAAAAATGTCTTTGTGTGCCGAGGATGATGCAATGACTGTCACAACGAGACTGACCAAACCTTCACCCACCACCATCAGTTGGTATCCCTGCTACTATGTCCACATCGCATGCGTTTCCGGTCCATCCAGACTCACAGGCGCACGTGAACCGGGTTGCTGTGACGTTGTTGGACACGCAGGTCCCTTGTTGACAGGGGGCGCTCTCACATGGGTCAACCTCTTCTGCGCATGTATCTCCGGCCCATCCTATTTGGCATGTGCAGTTGTAGTGTGTCTCGTTTCCGGAACAGGTGCCTCCATTTATACAGGGATCAGTGGCACACTGGTGTGTGATGTCTTCACAAAACATTCCTGGAAATAATCGAAGAAGAACCCTGAAGGTTGTGGCGGTAGGGTTTAACGCTACATTCAGCTATATTGCAGCTACATGTATATGACAGTGAGTAAAGTGAGTGAGTTTGGTTTAACGCCGCTTTTAACAGTATTCCAGTTATATCACGGCGTGTCAGCTTAATGTGTGAGGAAAGCCCGAAGTGATACAGGTCTCAGACGTTTACCACTTCGGTGAAACCCACAAGCACGGTATGGTGCTGACAAACCTAGAAACATAATCGGGGAGAACCGGGATTCGAAGCCACAATCATAGATTTCTAGTGTGCCCAAGGGATGTATATGACAGCGGTCTGTAAAATAATTAAGTCTGGGCAAGACAATCCAATGATTGCAACTGGGATACATACAATACAATCAACCAAGTCACCGAGCCCGACTTTCCATCCGTTAGACGGCTATTACGACAAGCATAGGTTACTGGAGACCTATATATTCTAAAGTGAAATCACCACAGTTTTTTTTTTCAAAAAGAGTTTTTGATAAGTATTGCCCGTCGGGTGAAAAAAGATCAAACGAAGAAAAACAAGTCAAAGGGTTGTGATTCCGGTGATTCTTGTTGTTTTTTTCATAACATTCTAGACTGGAGTGAGTGAGTGAGTATGTTTTTTACGCCACTTTCAGCTTTATTCCAGCAATATCAAGGCGGGGGACACCAGAAATTGGCTTTACAGATTGTACCCATGTGGGGAATCGAACCTGAGTCTTCGGCATGACAAGCTAAAGCTTTAACCACAAGGCTACCCAACCGGCCGACAAGGCTAGAAAACATAACTGAACGTTTGTCAAAGTAAAATTTACAAAAAAAATATTCCTTAGGAACTCAACATGTGATTTAATTTGTAATTTTGGGGTTTAAAATGCAAATAAAATGCATCTCTTACCTCCGAATCCTTCTCGACATTTGCACTTAAAACTCCCGGGTAAATCTTCACAGTCTGCCTCATTCCGGCAGTAACCATCGGCTACACATTCGTTGATATCCTGTTCGCAGTTGTCTCCCTTCCAGCCTGTAAAGAAATTCAACATAAACAATTTAAAAAATTCAAATTTTCGGGAATCCATCGCTATTTAATGAGAATATGCTTTTTGATTACTGCTTCAAAAAGGAAGAGTCGAAAAAAAGTTTTTATACACATTTTTTCAGCGTACAATATATCATTTTATTATCTATTAAACGATTATTATATTTCTCTTTTTTTCAAATTTAGAATTCTTTATTTATTTATTTAGCATTACAGTTTTTGGGGTTTTTTTTGTTTATTGTCGTCTATTGTCATTTATTTTTCATAGTCGTCGGTACCTTAGGCCAGTTCACACAAAGCGTATAGTTTAACAGCTTACCCATATTACATATTTTCGCTCCTGTCTGCTGGTGGCATGTGTAGTGGCCCAGTTCATTGTTCTGCGCCTTGCAGTATATCTCGCACACAGAACCGTACCAGTCAGGATCGCAGTAGGCACGTAACTGAATTTTCAGTCTGAAGAAATATAGAAAAATTAATACAATAGATTGATAATTATAAGTTAACAGCGGAAACGAAACAACCATTTTCTTTAAATTCGAGAATTATTTATTGATATCATAACCAAATAGGCTGTGAATAATCAAGTCTGGTTAAATAGTGATTGATAGCATGAGCACTTCCACGACGACCCGTGTGTGTTGCATAACGCCGCACTCAGCATTATTGCAACTATATGACGGAACCCTGTATTCAAGCGATATATAAACCAGATAATCCAGTGATTGATACCACAACGATCGATCCACCCCCTCGGGGTACGGAGCACACTTGGCAACAATTCGGCTACTGAATCACTCACTCATATAGTAATTCTAGTTCACGCCACGATAACTTCGTTTTTTTATATGATAGCGATAGGGGCAGATAGCTGATGAATTATGATAAAGTAGCCTGATCGATGTTTTCGAAATGACGCAGCTTTGAACAACGTTCCAGTTACGTCACGGCGTGTAAGCTGGGTGTGGGAGGAAATCCCGAAGTGATACACGTCTTTGACGTTCACCAATATCGTGAAATTCCCAAGGGCGTGGTGCTGACAAAGCTAGAAACATAATCAGTCGGAATCTGAGACTTGAACCCCCATCAAAGGTTTCTCGCAGAGCCTTAGATGACCTGGTCATCCGCGCTCCCGTTTTCCAGATGAGACTTAAACCAAATGATAATCACAAATAATAATTTCATACGACTCACTGTGTCCTGTGGTTCAAGATGTAAGTCTCGTAGACGCTTGCCTCGGCTGTGGGACTAACGGCGAAGTTTTCCAACACCTTGGCTAGGTTGTCCATGTGATCTTGGCCGTTGGCGGGGTCTTCATCAAACACCTCGACCTTCACCTTTATCTTGGACTGAGGACGGACAACCATGGTTTCTAAGTGTGACAAGCTTCCAGTGTGATATACATGGCTCTCATTAAAGGTATACAAGCAAGGCTCGTATAAATACAAAACTCTAGATCTATTAGAAGTATTGAGGACACTGAACATTTAAAACGTCAATGCAAGAGAATACAGTAAACTACGGTTATAACGAACTCAAAGGGACTGCTAATTTTAGTTCGTTATAACCGTAGTTCGTTATAAGCACATATACAACATAACTACAGCAAGTAGTTGGGACCAAAAAAGTAAGTTCGTTATATCCGTCAGTTCGTTATAAGCGTGTTCGCTATAACCGTAGTTTACTGTAACTGATTATCTGCCGAAACCGGTTTCATTTGACGTTGCTGTATGATGAGATATGTGTGTTTGTGACAGGTGTTTGTCACCGGTGGTGCAGGATACGCTCACCTTTTCGCGAACGCCTGGCCTGGTTTCATCACTATTTTATAGTGATTCAAAATGTTTTCGACAAGAAAAAACAAGAAACACAAAAACACGTAATTATGCTGATGGCACTGATATGATTATAGTTAATGGCGTTGTTGTTACCAATATGATAAAATCTACTGCTGTTACTGATATGATAAAAAAAACTGCTGTTACTGATATGATAAAACCCACTGCTGTTACTGATATGATAAAACCCACTGCTGTTACTCTGCTGTTACTGATATGATAAAACTCACTACTGTTACTGATATGATAAAACCCACTGCTGTTACTCTGCTGTTACTGATATGATAAAACCCACTGTTGTTACTCTGCTGTTACTGAAATGATAAAACCCACTGATGTTACTGATATGATAAAACCTACTGCTGTTACTGATACTGATATGATAAAACCCACTACTGTTACTGATATGATAAATTCCACTGCTGTTACTAATATGATAAAACCCATTGCTGTTACTGATACTGATATGCTAAAACCTACTGCTTTATCTGACACTGATATGATAAAACCTACAGCTGTTATTGACACTGATATGATAAAGCCTACAGCTGTTATTGATACTGATATGATAAAATCTGCTGAGGGAACATGATGAGACTTACTGGTATTGATGCCACGGACATGATGAAGCGATTGGACACCCCTCCGATGTCCGTTCCGAAGATCACATTGTTTTGTTCATGCATCACCCCAGTTTGTTTTTTAAGCAAGGAACAATCATGGACACTGTCGGAGCTGAAATATTGAATGATCATGGCATTAGTTGTAATAAGAGCGTGGCTGGAGAAACAAAACATAAGCATGTAATAGCATACGTCACGCATATGACGAACCGAGCATGCGCCTTGTGACTGGGAGACCAAAGGCTCGAACCACTTGGAAAGAGAGGGTAGACTAGGTCTTCAGCAACCCATGCTTGCTGCAAAAGGCAGCTATGCTTGTCGTGTGAGGCGACTAACAGGCTCGCTGACTTGATTGATGCATGTCATCGTATCCCAATTGTGTAGATCGATGCTCATGATGTCAATCACAGGATTGTCTGGTCCAGACTTGATTATTTACAAACCGCCGTCATATAGATGGAATATTGCTGAGTGCAGCGTAAACAACAAACAAACAAACAAAACGTGGATATGGGTAGAAACCCAGGTAGCCTTAATGTGCCCTGGTCACAGTGGTATTCATCAATGACCATCCGATGTTACACATAACACACAGTCTCTTTATGTGCAATACAGTGTTACAGGGCCTCAGATACTTGATCAATATGGATTATATGTAGAAAATAAGACAAAGACAGACTTACTAAACCAAAAGTATACTCTTGCTAGGATAATACACAAGACAAGTTGATAGGATCTTTGGTTTTATTCAACGTGGATGCATGACAAGGGATGGACTCTGGCGTTATCGAACGTCGTGTAAAGCATATTGAATCATGCCAGCAACATGCACACAATAACTGCCCCTTAAGTTTCATCACCTGGGCCCACTTGCACAAAGCGATCTTAGCGCTAAGACTATTGTAAGCCTATGTTAAAGAATGGGGGTTACAATCATCTTAGCGCTAAGATCGCTTTGTGCAAGCGGGCCCAGATCTGATATACATACCGTAGGTATTAACCATTGGGGAAATTGTAACGCATATAGCTTAATTACGTTATACTGATTATGACGTCATCCAAATAAAGTTATTACGTCACAAGAGATTTTGTGACATCATTACAACATTAAGCCGAATGATGTGATATCTCTTCGACCCATTGGGGAAATTGTAACGCATATAGCTTAGTTACGTTATACTGATTATGACGTCATCCAAATAAAGTTATTACGTCACAAGAGATTTTATGACATCATTACAACATTAAGCCGAATGAGGTGATATCTCTTCGAAGGACCGACAGACATGTTTCTACGACTGTGGGTAAAATTATAAAAATTACAGAATTGGGGATTAGCTGTATCTTGTGGATTAATTCGACAAAATATAATCCCTCGGAACCGAGGATCAACACGCCTCGTAGACCATGCGTCATTCTCTACACGGGAGATGCATGCATACTACATAAAAAGCATACCTGTTGGGTCTTTTCCTTTTTTAATGAAAAATGGAATAAAACATAACGATATCAATCATATGGCTACATAATGTTCATCATAAATAAAATCAAGTGCATGTGATTCCATAGGATGTAAAACCATCACTTCTAATACTGACAGAAATTGTTTTCCAAAATATTGCAATATGAGGTGAGGTGAAATTGGGTTTAACGTCGCGTCCAAGATTATTGCACTTATATAGCGACGTGCATGCACGTGTGTGTGTGTGTCTGCTTGTACTAGTCCGGACTGATGCCGATTTATAGTGCTAGCCCTACTGAGATACCATGCCACAGTTTAACATGAATACCCCACTCAGACATAGTATACTGACTCCGAGCCGACCAGTCCTTGTTTTAGCCCCTTAATGCCGAGCGCCAGACAGGGTAACAACAAGTACCATCTTTTAACGTCTTTTGGTATGACGCGGCCGGGGATCGAACGCCGGGCCCTCCGCTCTCCGGGCGGACGCTCTACCACTAGACCACAGAGACGGTCTATTGCAATATGAAGCCACGAGGGTATACGTACGTAAGTGAGATTCTACTAATCATCAAATACATTCTTCCAACGTTTTTAACGTTTTTAGTTTATAACCAGTAAAAAGCATTGTGTTGGCTTCAATGGCAGAGTCATTTATGATGTCATAATAACACATGACTTAACAATGATCTGCAAAGTATTGTGATACAAATACCATATCTGCAGTTAAGGCTGCTAAAAGTTTAAGATAATTGTTTTCATTAATCTTACTCCTTATATATTTATACTAATTTAGCTACACGTCATTCAACTAAATATACAAGATAGGCCATGTACTCACTTCGATTCGTCTACACAGATGGTAAACTTTGGATCGCACTGGTTGTTGCAGCCGAGCCAGGAAACAATGGACTCGCAGCAGTTTCCATTAGACCCTTTACCACTTGAGTAGAAGCTGTGCAGCTTCATGTCCAGCTTCCCCGAGGACTTCACTTGCTGTAAATTAGAAAATAGGAAGTGGATATGAATCACTGACAAATAACATTGATATAACTTTCATTTCCTTATAGTTTCCGTTAGGTTTCATTCCCTGAGCATTTACTTAATGATTATTTCCGTGACTTAAGAAACTTTCAGATAACCAGTTTCATCCTAAGTTTCTGGTCAGTCTCCTCGGGATTCCGATATTGTTATTTTGTTTGGTGCCATCGGTAGCGCAGGACATGCTTACCCTTTCGCGAACACCTGGTGTCATCACTGATTTTCCGTGATCCATTCATATATAATTTACACCGCTATTTTGGCTTTTAAGCCCAATGGATTCCTATCGTGGGATAATCGAGAATTGTTATTCTCTTCTATGTTATTCCATTTAGTTTCCTCAAAGGAGAGTTATTGTTGTTGTTTTTTTCTGGGGCTCTTCTTATTAGGAACTTACAAATGTAGAGTTTACTACTTGGTTTGTTGGTCATGAACCGCCTCCGTGGTCTAGTGGTAGAGCGTCCGCCCGGGGAGCGTCATACCAAAAGACGTTAAAAGATGATACTTGTTGTTACCCTGTCTGGCGCTCGGCATTAAGGGGCTAAAACAAGGACTGGTCGGCTCGGAGTCAGTATACTGTGTCTGAGTGGGGTATTCATGTTAAACTGCGGCATGGTATCTCAGTATGCTAGCACTTTAGATCGGCATCAACCCGGACTAGTACAAGCAGCCACACACACAAGTACATGCACGTCGCTATATAAGTGCAATAATCTTGGACGCGACGTTAAACCCCATTTCACCTCACCTCATCTTGGTCATGAAGTTTCACTTGTAAACGAGTGCATGATAAATTGCTGGCACAGAATGTTACAGAGCTACTCAAACGGCTATAAAAATGAAATATGGCAAACTATATGTGACCTAGATAATTTTGACTTTGTCTGGGTTCGATTCTATCATGTTTGTCAATTGGTTTTGGTGATCCGGTTCTACATTTACTTTGCCCACGAATGTGTTGATGCTACTCTGGCACATTCGTGACCAACTCGTGTTATTCCGGGACAAGCCGAATAGCGACTCGTGCCCCTGTCGTGGCCATTTTGTGACCGGGTTCCGTCTTAGCGCAAACGGGCATACCTAAAACAATTGTCAACTAGTTGCGTAATGGTTCACATATATTTCCCCATATATTATATATATTTCAGATGCAATTCAAAGCACATCGGGACATGCAGAATTATACAGTATGATTGGATACATTTAACTGTGTATTGGGTATATTTTTAGATGCAAGACATATGTAAAATCAAAAATTATTTCTGAGGGATTCTTTGACGAAGAACTTGAAACCATACGCGCATTCTGATTGGTTTGTCGTATTTTCGCACATAACATTCATCGATAGGGGGACGAGCCTTCTTGCAGGTTACGGAAAGGGGCGAGTGGTGACGAATGACTCTGGCAAAGCAAGTTGTGTTATGTTCAACAAGGATATATTGTTGTTGCCTATCCTGCAGATGCCATGACCTTGGGTCTGAGAGGCATTGGTGAAAGCCGGATCAGCAGTACTATCCTATCAACTACAGAGACATCAGCGTTAGGGGCTTAAGGGACAGTCTTAGTTTCCTTCGCCTTGGTAGTGATCAATATGTGTAGAAAGAACAAGCCTATTCTTCAGTGAGATATCTGTAGTGAAAACAAGTGAGGTGACTTGAAGTTTAACGTCGCGTTCAAGAGTATTGCTTCTATATAGCCCGGTGCAAGCACGTGTGCGTGCCTGCGTGCTTGCATGCCTGCCTGCCTGCTTGCGTGCGTGCGTGCGTGCGTGCGTGTGTGCGTTCCTGCGTGCCTGCGTGTCTGCGTGCGTGCCTGCCTGCCTGCTTTCGTGCGTGCGTGCCTGCGTGCGTGTCTGCGTGCTTGCGTGCCTGCGTGCCTGCGTGCCTGCGTACTTGTCCGGACTAATGCCTGATTTATAGTGCTAGTTCACTGAGATGTTTTTCTGAGTAACATTGCCACCCCCTCAGACACAGTATACTGACTCCGAGCCGACCAGTCCTTGTTTTAGCCCCTTAATGCCGAGCGCCAGACAGGGTAAAATCGTAATGCAACATCAAGAAACGTCATCATGGAAAGACGGGGAAACGCGCACATATTTAATTCCTGTCAAAATCATGTACAGAAACACCCAACCCTGCCTTTTCTTGTTAGCAGATCCGCCGAGAATTACTAAGGAAAACATGCGATAAAAACTACATGAAAACCAGTTATTTTCAATGTGGCTCTTTTGAAACTATTCTATTTGAATGAAACAAAATACTGTTTGAATAATTAATTATCAATGTAAAGAAGTAATAAACAAACTTATTCAATTGATCTGTTATTAAAATTATATTAAGATGGAATATAATGTCGGCCTTTACAATAACGGGACCTATAATAGTAAATACCCTGCTCAGTGTGGAAAAAGATGATCACTTCATTTCGTCTACTTCATATGATAAATGTAACAGTAATTGAATGGCATACTGACACACATATTAAAAGTCTACCTACGCTGAAGACTGACTTCTAAGGACCGTATATCATTAAGGTGTATATTCAAAACCATACTATCAACCACAACGCTTTCGCTATTGGATACACCTTGACATCAACAAATATTTTCTATAGACTGTCGCTATTGATAACATCAGATGTAAACATATTTGCACATCACTAGGCGATTTTTTATTAAGGACATTTCTGCCTCGATGCGCCATCAAAATATACATAAACTGTCACGCAAAGACGCCTTTATTGCATCAGTATATATCATATTAAAAACCATTTATGAGAGACATAATAGGTCAAATACGCCCTTGAAGCTCTACCACGGGAATGTTGTGGAATATATGAAGGCGCAATGATATTTACAGTCATGATTAAAAAGCGTGTCTGTAGCCAACTTAATAGCGTGCTTCTTTAATCATTTCAGACACTTTCAATATACACAAGATCCTGTCTACTCGTTCAGACATCAGACATTGACGTTGAATGGTGTTGAATAGTATAAGCCAAGTGAAGAATGTCAACGTGTCCTTTAAATGTGTCAGTCAATGTGTTCATGTGTAAAATGTGATTCACTTGGGCAGTTTACAAATTGACTGAACAATCTGTCCATTTTTTTTGACAGATTGATTAAAAACTAGTTAGAAATTCAAAGGGGCTCAAAAGCATCACAATAGACTAATTATGCTTGATTTACGATGCAGAAAATAATGGTGAAAGTAAACCTCCAAATGTTTTAAATTCATTATAATAATACAATAAATGGACAGAAATTTAGTCCATTTGTAAAATACCTGAATATTTAGGCGTCTTGTAAATTGCCTATGTGAATTTTCAGTCATCGTACACATTGACTGTGACATATACCCTGTGTGGTATATCTAGGTATGATCATATACATATTCCCCAATACTCCAGACGGTGCCAATTGCAATGCAATCGCCCGGATAAACAAAATTACGGATTAAAAAAACATGAGTATTCCTTTGATCTTAAATTCATATAGTCGTTTAAACAGTGTCCGGATAGCGAGGTGTCCATGGACGTTTCGAGACAGTATTTCACAACCGAGATATTGTCATGAATTGTTTCTCATTTCTGATTCCATGAATTGTGTTCGGTGTTTTCTTTGTCGGTCTGGTCTGAAGGGCAATATTCTATCAAACGCTACTATATCAATATTGTCTTCAAAGCTGGGATAAGCTGAAAAAGATTCATATATTATCACTTTTTGGGAGATATTACAACAGCCTTCCTTGTAACGCAGGAAGTAAAATGTGATCATCGTCACTTTATACAATTTAGCAAATTCTACCCACGTATTCAGTCTAAAAATACTTCTTAATCTGCATAGCCTGTCAACAGTCGAAATATTATGCACGCTAAATATATACAGCGTCAAAGTGACATGTAAACATGGATTAATACTTTTTAAATTGTGAATGTTTCGTTACAAGCTTGTTGGGCTTTTGGATCAATGTTAGTGCCAGGTCTAGTGTGGTGTCAATATTTGGGTAAGTGTGTTAATTGTACGGCGGTTTTGTGTGTGTGAGTGAGAGGGAGAGAGGGAAATCACTAGAGAGAGAGAGGAGGGGGGGGGGGGGGGGGGGGGGGGGGGGGGAGGGCGTAGTGAGTGAGTGAAGGAGAACGTGAGTGAGTGAGTGAGTGAGTGAGTGAGTGAAGGAGAACGTGAGTGAGTGAATGAGAGAAGGAGAACGTGAGTGAGTGAGTGAGTGAGAGAAGGAGAACGTGAGGAGTGAGTGAGTGAGTGAGTGAGTGAGTGAGTGTCTATGCCATAGCAACACAGCGGGATCACTGCTCTGTAACGTACCACACAGAACAGATTACACCCAGACCGCATATGGGTGTTTAAGTATGCACATAGTCTTCACCCGAGCGTCGATTTGTATGTACAATATATAGACATACATAAAATATGGTTTTCACGAGGACGCAAATACAATTAGTAGAAAGCATTGGGTATTATGGGTTGGGCGGGATCTAAAGCTCCTCGGTATCAGAGTGCACACGTTTTAAAGCACGGTGCATGTCTATGCATATGGAACGCCTTGAATCAGCGTGGCCGCCAGATCATAATTTGTGGTTTTGTTCGTCCGTTTGTTGTTTAAATATAAAACCAGTATCCAATTTCCCACAAAACAGATTACACTGGGGGTAAAGGCAAAATAGCGATGAAGATTATGACGCCGCAATAGGACTGTCACCCATCCACCTACTCTCCGAGACCAACGCTGCTTAACTTCACCTGATAACGACCAGTATAGTCGCCTCTTACGACCAGCATAATTTGCCGGGGTGTATATTTTTACCCATGGGTCGTCGCTTCGTACGACCAACGCCGTAGACCCGGCTTCGATTCCCGACATGGGTACGATGTGTGAAGCCCATTTCTGGTGTCCTCCGCCGTGATATTGCTGGAATATTGCTAAATGCGGCGTAAAATC